TTTTTTTTTTTTTTACCTTGGAGACAGAATAAAAAGATCAGGTACAGCTGGATACTATGGGGCATGCATCTATAGTCCCAGCTACTCAGGAGGCTGAGGCAGGAGGATCACGTATGCCCAGGAGCTCAGGACTACCCTGAGCAACATAGCAAGACTCCATCTCAAAAAAGAAAAAAAAAAGATCAAGCATTTACAGTTCTGCAAACCTCCTATTTAAGTTTTATGACTATAATGTCTGAAAGTCAGGTGGATTACAATTACATTAGGGAAATATTAATTCAGAAGCTATCTTGGATTTGTGCATAAATTGTGCCCTGGCCTGCAACAGTAATTATCACAAAAAAAATAAAGCCAAATATCAACTCAGAAGGAGGCAACATCAAATTCACCAGGTTTCATTAGTGGCATGACACATCCTATCTGATTTAAATCAAGTGTTTGAACTTCCAGCCCATTTGGATGGCAGTTCAAGCGAATCCAGTAAATTATAAATGGCCCGATCTCTGACCAAGAACCTAATGGAGATTTGAGCAGTGGGGCTCTTCTGAGAAAACTACCTATCCAGTCCCTGCAGACCACCTAGAAAGGATGGAGAAAATCAGAAGCCATTTCCCCTACTTGCTTTTCTTTTCTAGAACTTGCACAGAGAAAACTGCACCCAAATTCAGTCTAGGCTTCCTAGACTCCTATATTCTGGGGACAAAGACTTCTCTGTTTCCTGGGTCTGGGATGAAGAAGGCCTTGGGACCCAGGCCCTGAGAAATCTTGCAAATGCCCCAGGTCTGGGGATAGGCTCCAGCTCTCAGCCATCCTGAAGGTAGAAGAGGCACATGGTGTGGGGAATGCATCAAAAGCTCGAGCTGGCTTGAGCAGGGCTTGCCCTGGCTGAAAGCCCAAAGAGATGAAAATGAAAGTCCAGAAACAAGCATCTTTTGCCAGTGCTAATGTATTGGCACCTGTGTTTGTTTAAAATATGTACAGCCAGAGAGAGAAAGAGAAAGAGAGAGAGAGAGAGAGAACTTTGTTTTCTCGCAGAATATTCAGAGCCAATTTCAGTACCCAGATCTTTACAGGAAAACCCTGTGGGGATCTGTGAGGTGTGAGCGGGTGCTAAGGGCAGAATTTCCTGCCTGAACTGGGAATTCCGATGATAGCTGACATTGGATTATTATTTTAAAGGAAAGGAGAAACTGCTATACACTTGAGATGGCACAAGTGATCACACTGCCTAAAACTGTAAATCAAGTGTAGAAGTGGTCTTCAGTTGTTCTCAAAGTGGGGTCTCCAGAGTAGCAGCCCCGCCTGGGAGTGTGTTAAACATGCACGATCTTCAGCCTCAGCTAGACCTCAAGGATCAGCAGCCCAACAGTGAGGCCAAGCACACTGGGTTTAACTGGTTTAAACTTCTTGGGTATTCTGATGCATGCTCAAGTTTGAGAAACCACTAAGCTCCTTTAAAATTCACCAACAGAAATGATTGACCTCCAGCCTCAAACACAAGGACTCATTTATATTTTCCCTAATGATGGCACCTCTCATGTGTAACCCACCCTTCTGGCTTTAGTCAGAGCTTAAGGAGGCCCCTCAAGGTGCCCTTTAGGAGTTCTTCAGGTGAATGCACACTTCTAACCCCGTGCAAACCCTGTCTGTCCGCTGTCCCCAGAACAGCAGGAAGAAAGCCAAATGAATGGGATTGCTTATTTGGTTAGACACAACATCCAGGCCAGGGTCACTCAGCAGCAGCACTGAGGACATTTTGGATCAGATTTTTGTTTGTTTGTTTGTGGGAGCTATCCTTTACATTGCAGGATGTTTAGCAGCATCCTAGGCCTTTACTCTCTAGAGAAAGGCAACACCTCTCCCTCCACCCAAAATTATCCACAGATATTGCTCAGTGTCTCTAGAGGACAAGATCATCCCTGTTGAGAACTGCTGGGTTAAACCAGAGTATGCTAACTCCACATATGTTAGCTGCATTAAACAGTTAATCTGAGTTCTATAAAGGTCTCAATAAACTACCTTGGGTATCACTGTCTCTACAAACCATCCCCTCATTCCAACCCCACCCCTAAAGGGATGACCCAGGTCATCCTGTCTCTCCTCAAGTTTCCAAGGCTATGAAACTTGGGGTATGCCTCTGAGCCCAAAGATTAGCCCTCAGGAAATTGTCCCTCTGGCACAGTCATGGGCCTTTGATTTTTGGATTGCTGCTTTCCTGGTCTTTGTGAAGCCACAAAGAAAAAGTAATAGCATGGCAGCAGAGACAATGCCATGGGGCTAGTACATCTTCCAGCTTCCCAATAGTGTTTGGCAAAGGTGAAGTTGCTTCAAACAGATTGACAGATTAAGGAACAACCTGCGCATAAAATGGATTTTGCCTCTGCCTATATGCAATCTCATTCATGAGAAGCTAGTAGAGCACAGAAAATTGCACCCAGCTGAACCCAGATACACAAGATGCACGTGTGCACACCACTACACTGCCAGAACATGTGCATGCTGCCTTGGGTCACATGCACCTTAGCCACTCCCAGCCAGCCTGCTGTGCTGACTTCCCTTCCAATTTCAAATCATCCTCCTTCACTGAGGAACTTATGAGTTCCAATCTATTCCACAGCCAACTTCAGCCACTTCTAAAGTGAAGTGACATATTGTTTTTTCATGTGTTTCTTAACCATTTCATGGTGTAACGTGTAAGACTACCATTTTTATTAGGTTCCCATCTCTTTAAATGTACCACTGACTAAGTTTTTGAGTACTGTGTACCTACCCCCATTTTCCTATGAGTCCTGTGGTTTTCACTGCTCATTCTTACATAGCACTGATATTGAGGACCATGCATATCATGGCATAGCAGAACTGGCTATATCTTCTCCCCTAATCAGAGTGTCCTATGGTGGTAGAAAAACATCACCAAGCTCTTCTCCTCTGGCTCCTCCTCTTTGAACTCAACCTTTAGGCTGAGCCAGGCAGCTGCTTCCACCTTCCCAGGCTGTACTAAGCTCCGAAGCTCCGTGGACATTTCCTTCTCAATACACTTATCACAATTTGTTGGCATCATCTGTCAAGGGCTGCACTATCCCAGTGAGCTCCTTAAGGGCGGAGCCTTGTCTTAGTCACCACCGTTTTCTTCCAAGCCTGGCCACAGTACATACTCTGTTCACCCTTGTCTGGCTACTCACCCACTCCGAGTCACCAGGCACTGGCGGAGTCCCAGTTTCCGGAAGATGTCTACCACTGTCTCCATGGGGGTGTGGTCCGTGACCGTGAAAGGGCTGAGATTCAGGATGCGCCTCAGCTTTAAGGGGTGCGGGCTGTTGGCTGGCAGTTCAGGAGGCTCCTCAGTAAAGTACATGATGGAATTGCTCACAATGCCCTCCTGCCTCTGTCTGGCATTCTCTAGAATGAGGGTAAGTGGGAATAATAAGCCACACAAAAATCTCTCACTTACCACCCCCAGCACCAGAATCCTACAGAAAAGGGTTCAGAGGGCAAATGACACATTCTTAATAAGAGACTTCGGCCAAACATCTGCGAAATTGGCATCTCTCTTAGGCGAATGCTGTGTGAGGGAGGCCCCCTGCTATGACCAGATCAACTCATTGCCAAGGTCTTGCAAGACGGGCCTGGCCAACATGGCTCCTTCGGGGACATTCACTACTGCCCCTGGAATCCAGAGCACCCCAAACAGCTCAGGGCACTCCATTCTTGCTTTCCAAACACTCCTTCACCTCATCATGAGCTGAAGTTTGTCACGAAAAGAAACCTCATTATCTGCCCAGTGACCTTAATACATTGTTTTTTTGCAAACAAACTTATAGCTGGCCCAAATGGCATTCTGAATTCTAAGAGGAACAAGAAACCAATAAGACCAGCCCAGGCTCACAACCCAGAAATGCAGCTCAATCCCAAATATGACCCTTGGGACCAAAGAAACAACCCCAGAAAAGCTTCACCCCCGCCCCACACACACACTCCTTGGATCTCTTCTCTTTAAAATGGACCATTTTGTAGATTTTTCAAAAGATAGGAAAACTGTTATGGTAGCAATTAGTCTATTTCAGTCTTACGCAAGGCCATGTGAAGCTAAAGAAAAGTAGGGTAACAGGAACTCATTAGAAATACAGCTTAATGCAGTGCTAGAAACCCAGGCTATTTTAAGTCACACATGAAATAAATCCATTGGTCTCAAGATATTTCTCCAAGGCAATTTTCCTTCTGTTGGAATTTTAATCTTTCTTTTGGTTCATGGGAAAAGGTTAGGAAAAACGTACGGCAGAGCCTGCCTTAAAATGAATCCTGGTTTCTGTAATACGTTTCTTGCTTTCTCAAAGACTATTATTCACCTATATTGTTCTTTCAAAAATAAAATTCTAACAGCTTCCTCTAAGGCCATTTAGTGCAATATAGTACTCTAATGGAAAACTGGCAGCATTTGAGGTCAGGCTGAATCTGAAAAGGGGTGTCTTTTGAAAAAAGGAGCAGAGGGCCTGCTGGGCAAATGCCTGCACATTATATGGGTCAGGTTAAATCTAGTTATATCAAATAGGATATGATTCAACCACAAATACCAGGCAATGCTGATACACAATGTGTTTTCAAATGCAGGTCCTGCACTCCACAACTGCATACTTCTCTCCTAAACCAAGATGGTTCTGTCTTTATGCACTAGGACAGGGGGGCAACAGTCAATGTGTACTTATTTGCTCATTTCCACAGACCAACTGATTCTTGTAAAGTCCCACACAATAGGATTTCCATCTGTTTTGACAATCAGATTGAACATCAGGATTGGATCAAGACACAAACCCCTAATCAAGAACTGATCACATGGATTTGCTGAACTCCTTATAAAACTAAATACAACTTAGTGAACCATCAACACAGTTGTTGAAATGAACAAGCTTATATTTCCTCTGAATCTACCCATTGAGTTAGAAGCCCTGATTCTCATAGACACACATTCTAAGATCTCTTGCTTACTAGTGCACTTCCAGTGCCCAGAAAATACAAAGAAACCAGCAGCACAAAACCTGTATTTGTCACATGCACACATGCATGCATGAAAACAATGGGTCTACTAAATAGCAGCGCATCTTGTTCAGCCTGACCTGTAGAATAAAGCCTGTTTCATAAAGCAGACATTAGGAAGGAAAGTCCATGAGCTACTCATTGCCCTGTAAGAATCGCAGGCATCGGCTGGAGTCAGAGCTGGAGATCTGAGGTGTACTCTTTGCTACTCCACATGGCAACTGCTGCTCTCTTTAGAAGGGTTCTACTAAGTCACTTTGGAACTGTATTATAAAAACTTAATCTAAGGCTTCAAACTTTGGAGGTAGATGTGCTATGCACAGGCCAAGAGCTGGTGAATGGAAGAAAAACCAGGAAAAGAGCACTTTGCAACTCTGTATTGGAGTAAACCAGCTACTCCCAGTTGGGACCAAAACTCTCCATTGGTCACCAAAGTGTCTGCAACAAAACTCTAACATGTACTTTTACAGAGGACAGAGACAATATACTGCCATCCCTGGACTCTAGCTTTTAGGAGAGTACTGGCACATGGTGAGCACTCAGGAAATATTTCCTATATAAAAGGATAAACCAACTCTCACCCAGGGGACAAGTCAGGGCTATCAGAGTCTAGACCAGTGATGGCAAACCTTTTAGAGCTTTCAGGAATACAAACAGCCCTCTCTGGTATGCATGCCACAAGTTCATGATCACTGGTCTAACTCCCAGACCTCAGGAAATCTTGGGAGCCTAAGTTGGAAATGAAACCCCACAAAATCCCCAAATGCACATTTTTAAGGAGCCCTAAAGGAGAAGTGCACTAAATATTAGTGAGTGCCTTTAAAAATTACTTTATTTGCTTCTGATTTTTCCAATATTCTATAAGTGTGTGTTACTTTTACTCTAAAAATGTAATAAACTTCATTTTAAATGTTTTAAGTTCCAGTAGTTAAATTGTTTTCTAAATGTTGTTAATGGAGGATGCTTATTACATATTCTATTAAAACTAGTGTCAGTGGTCCATCATTCTGTTCATTAAAAATGCTTCCATAAGGCAGATGTAATTCATGAGAAAGGCTGAAATGGAAAACTGGAAGCAACCACCATAGTGGTCAGTACAAAGACAATATGATAACAAAAAGTAAGGGCTAAAATGAAGAGAAATCAGAGTATTTTACCAGTTATTGTCTACAAAGTCATGGTGAAGTCCTTCTACATATATCTCTCCATATATTTTAACATCCTCAGCAGAAAGTAGTTGACACCACTATTCTCTATGACCTATTCCAAAAATTAACAGCACTCCCCGGCAGAAACCTCTTCAGCCCTAAATAGTTTATCTGCCAAAACTGCCATTTATATTCTGGTTCAGTACTGGATGTAGATCCCTTTCTGCAAGTAAGCATCTTCCCCATGCTAGAGAATCATTATTAAGTCATCCATCAGACAAAAAACATTTTTTTTGAGTTCCCTTAACTCTTCCCTGTAGCTCTAACTTTCCATCCCTTTAATCATCTCTGCGGCTTCCCACCGAGTCCTCTCTGAACCCTTATACACTTAATTGCAGAATTCAAGACTAGAAGAGGCTGAGCCCTGCTGAGTATAGAAGTGCCTCACATTCCCAAAGACAATGAGAGGTAAAGGCCACTTTACCAGGAATTTGAACAAGGGCCATCTACAGCCTCACGTGTTAATAATCTGAAGAGGTCACCTTGCTCAGGTGGCACTAATTCACTTTCTAACAAAAACAATGGCTGTGCTTTGGCCTCCCAGAGATAGACTGAAAATAACTAAATATTTCAACTCCATGTCAGCAGCTGCTACAATTTCAAACAAGACATGTAATAAAAACCTTTATTTTCCTCATTTACCATTGTTTATTATTGTAATTATATCTATCCTATGATAATCTTAGCTCCCAATCCTCAAAAAGTGAAATTGGCATGGGATACTTTTAGCTAAAGGCTAATGTCACATTTCTACATTCATAACCTGACTCCTCAAATACAGGCCATGAATTTCTCCACAAGAATACAGTGAATTCTCTTTTCACAGATCAGGAAAATAGCTTTTCTGATTCCTTGGAGTGAAACACCCCTTGCCTTTCCACAGACCGTGTAAATAGCAGCTTCTACACTATTATGGCCTGATTGAAAGCACAGAGGTATTATTTACACTGTGTGATGCCTCTTCAGACATTCCAAACATAGCTTCTGAAAGAGTGCTCGCTTGCAAAGCTTAAATTTCTTCTCTAACCAGTTGATGCCAATTACTGCTTCCCACTTGATTACAGTAATGGATTTCAGCAAAATTAGTAAGCTGTTTCTTAGCAGGTGTGCCTAGAGCGACACAATAGGTAATGAATTCTGTGACATTTATTTCTTGAGTTTCTAAATTTCAACCTTTGCTTAAAAGATTTTAGGAATTGAATAAAATTTTAAAAGCTGCTGATTACATTATTTTAAAACAAACCCAACTTGACTTAAACAACTTTTTTAAAGCCTCATTATTTGTAAGGCAATATTTACTTCTGAAGGCAGCTACCTGTTTTGATACAGGACCTACAGTAAAAACAAGCATCACTGAGCACCGACTTGCTATGCTGTCCAAAATGAAAAATCAATCTTTGCTTTGGGGGACCTAAGCATTCATGAGCAACACACTAAAATTAGAGGGTATAACTTATCTAAACTAATTTTTATAAAACCTTTGAGAAAGAGTCTTTAAAGAAAATTTTAAAGCCATTTATCTTGGAAGAGAAGCACCTTAGGAATAGGAACATAGGGCAGGGAGGAGGAGACAGTTCTCTGGTGAAGATGTGTTCCCAGTGGGGCACTCAGTAGCCACACCCAAGAAAGAAATCCCCACGGACACAAAGCAGGAGTGCTGCAGCAGGGGAATGGACAGCAGTAACACTGTCACGTGCACACACGAGCCAGGCCACCGGCCCCAGTTGCCCATGGGGTGCAGGGATGCTACGGAGATTGCAAAGCAATGATACTCAGTCAGGGGGCACGGCATCTACCATGTGAGGGAGGATGGGCTACACTGGTCCGTGCCCCTGCTGAATCCTGGAGTCCCCAGGACTCCAACCCTCTGAGGTTCTCTGTTCCTACTTCTGAGCATATGCCCTCTAAATTCTCCTCATGAGTCTCACCTGCCTCTTTCACTCTGTCTTTGCAATCCTTCTTCCTATTCCCCTTCTTAAGGAGCCAGCACGCTGGCTTCTCTGGGATACCTGTCTATGGAACATCCCACTTGGGCATCATCCCTCTCTCTCCTACCCCAAGTCAACAGTCTGCCCCCCGCCCGGGGTAGCTGATTTCGGTTCAAATGTAAGGAGAAAATAACCACATAGAACTTATGTCTAGCAATGCTATTCATTAACCCATATGGGCCTCTAGCCGGTGGAATGGGCCATAATTCATTCAGTGAAGCAAAAACTTGTGTGGTGGCTAGCAAAGTCTCAGGGAGAGACCTCACCACCCAAGTGAGGTAGTTATCCTGCCTGAAAGCACAGCTCTGAAACCAGCTTGGCACAGGCCACACTGGGATCTCACACCATCCCTTCTCCTTCTCAGTTTCCACCAATTATCCCCCCAAACACAGCAGCAGCAGCAGCAGCTTGCCTCCTAGTGTGAACACACAGCAGTCACTTTCTGGTCAGGAATGTCTATCCTAGGACACGGGTTGAAACTTTGGGGATTGGCAACACTGGCATGAATGGTGAATGCAGAGTATCGGCCTACCTAGACCTGCTCAATCAAATCTGCATTTTAACAAGGTCCCAGATGACAGATCTGCCCTGAAGCTTGAGAACTCCTGTCTTACGAAACATTCTCTCGAACCTCTTTCATAATTCTAGGGGTACAAAGGCTGCTTAACAAAATGTGAACCTCCCTCTCCTTACTTATTGCAAGGATCAGCTCCCTCCTCTGAGCGAACCCAATGAGGCGCTCAGAGTCTCTGGAGACCACCACAGGGAAGCCGTTGTAATCTGTCTCCTTGATAAGCGTCTCCACATCCTCCACAGTCATGCTGTCCTGGGTGAGCACGGAGAGTGGAGGCTCTCCTCGCCGGGGCCGCATCACATCAGTGGCCAGGGTACGGTGGGTGAACTCATCCTTCACATCAAGAAATGGGTACCCATTCAGGTGGATGTGGGCTTCATAGATGCCCTCTTTCCCAAAGGCATCAGCCACCCACTTGCTGGTCACGGCTGCCGCCATCAGGGGCACAATGTACTCCAGACCACCCGTTAATTCAAACATGATGACCACCAGTGATACTGTCATCCTGGTAACTCCACCTACAATGGAAGAGAGAAGTGAGATTCTGAAGCTTAACCCTGAACCCTCATGAAGGCACAATTTATGAAAACTGAGAAGCTCACAGCCTGCAAATGCAGCTCAATCCAAGCTCTCTAAATTCTCCTCATACTTGCTCCAAGGAGATGTTCCTATGAGATGTTGCCCATATTGGCATCCCCAGAATAGAGGCCAGGCTCTATTAAACTCAGCCTTGCAAATAGGAGCTGTAAGTCATCTGACTGGAAGCTCTTGTCTAATGCAGGACCCTGGGTAATAGATGAACTCAGACCAAATGCTTGACTTTTCTGTGAGTGGATCCTACACAGCCTATACAAGCTTTTACCCAAGAAAGCAACCCATAAGTTGGAAAATTGTAGAGATTTTGAGGAAATAGATTGGAGAGGGACATACCTTTGGATTCGTTAGTATTCGAAGAAAGAATCCAAACTGATTCTTTAATAAGCCTAAACCAGGGTTTCTTAACTTCAGTACTGGGGACATTTAGGACTGGATCACTTTGTTGTCAGGACTCTCCTGTATACTACAGCAGGTTTAGCAGGACCTTTGGCCCCTACCCACTACACACGAGTGGAATGATCAAAAGTATCCTTCCAGACTTTTCCAGGTGTCCCAAGGAAGCAAAATCATTCCTGACTGAGAATGAGTTCTCTGGGCATACAGCTGTGAGATGGTGGAGATTCCATCAGATGGGCCTCTGAATGACTGGGTGGAAAAAAGTCTTCTGCTAAATCATGGTTTATGTGTTGTATTATATTGTATCTATATAGTGAACAGGATATAAGCTTGCTATGTGTTCAGCCATTGAGATGGCAGAGCTTACTTGTTACCACAGCACAACCTAGCTTATGCTTAGTAATGCCAATGAGCACATCCATGTCTTCTTGCCAGTCCTGAACAATATCAGTGCCCCAACTCTTCCACCCATCCCTGACCCATGGACATACCTAGGCAGGCTGCAGCTCCCACCATTGCATAAAGTCCTGGGGTGACGCAGTCTGCCCCAGGTCTGCACCAGTTCCTGAAGATAATCCAGTCATGGTGATGGTAAGCCAGCTGCTCCACACCAATCCCCACCATCCTGCCTGCCATGGCTCCCACAGCCATGCTGGGGATGAAGAGTCCTGAGGGGATCTCAAGGGAACACAGAGAGAAAAGCAACCTGAGGGAAGGAGACCAACTTTTGACTCTCCAACCCCCAGGAAACAAGGTCGCCTTCCACAAGCTTGCATTTGATTGCAGCCATCAAAAGAGGTGAAACTCTTCAAAACAGGTCATCTAGGAAAAGGTGGACAAGCGATTTGACCTGCTTAGTCAGTAGAGTCTACTGCGACTTGGACAGAATGCAATTTCACACTTTCATTTCCTCTCCTTCAAAGCTGGCGAGTGTGCCTGCTGTGGATGAAAGATAAGCCCCACTGCAAATGACATTCAAAGTGCACATCTGTCACCAGAGACTCTCACCATTTTCTTGCTCCCCTTGCTGTGTCATTCAGATTGGCTTTGAAAATTAAATGTCAAGCACAGCATGAAAATGGAAAGAAGGGCCTACAGGTAGAAAGAAAAAAAAAGCTGAACACATCATTGCAGCTGCCCTGAATCTTCCAGAGAGCCTTTCAAGGGCTCACTGTCCTCTTTAAAGGATAGTGGCTGTCAAAAAGAACTGAAGGAAAGTTCCCTCTTCCTAACGAAGTCCATATTCCGATATTTCCAGCCAGGTTACATAACCTAAGAGATGTTGGTAGTATCATGTTTTCTATTGAGCTGAGTGAGGATACTGTACATTTTGTTTTTCTCATGGCCATACAGAACACGTCTGCTACACAGCAGAACACACCTGGCTCCCAAGTTCATGGAGATTCCATGTGACTGCAGATCCTGAGCAGCAGCTGCCTTTCTGTTTGCCCCTGCAGATATCAATCTGAGCACATAAACAGATCTTTAACCTAACTGACTTCAAGTTTCAACCCCCACGTGCAATTTCTAGTTTTAAACATTCCTTGGCAGTTTGTTCCTTTCTGATCATCCTCTTATTCCACAGTCATTGACTATCCTGTCATTTCCTAGTAGACATTTCTCAAAAAGTAACAAAAGATGCTACTACCATGGTATCTTCCTTGGACACAAAATCAAATCCTTTTGCTACAAGCTGATGGATCCAAGCCAGTTAGCTATTGGACCAAGTCCACCCATTCTTGTTCTTAAGACACAAATTCTAGTTTGTGTTTTACTACTGTGCACTCAAGCCAGCCATTTCTTAGATTCTTTAAAAAGAGAGAATTCAGACCAAGGTGCTGGCACATGACTGTCATCCCAGCACTCTGGGAGGCTAGGCAGAAGGATCACAATTTCAAGCCTAGCCTGGGCAACTTAGCAAGACTTTGTCTCAAAATTAAAAATAAATGGCTGGGAATATAGCTCAGTGTGAAAGTCCTGAGTTTAATCCCCAGGGTGGGGGGGGGGAGAATGAATTGATAAAAATTAAAAATATCGCTCTTTCCTGGCTGCCATGATGTGAGCAGCTTTTCCTCCGCAAGGCCCCTCTGCCATGCTATTTCTTCTTTGGAGCCAGCTACCCATGGACTAAAAAACTGAGCCAAGACACGTGCTCCCGACCCAGCCGCCATCACTCAAGCGCCGGGAGGAAGCCTGGGCCCCGATCCACCACGGGAAGGAGAGCCACTCCTGCTCCCGACCCAGGTGCCATCGCTCAAGTGCCGGGAAGGTAGGCGCGCAGGCACCCCTGAACGCCCATACGCCCCCCCCCGCACTCTCAGACCTCCTGACTGTGCTAGTCTTTGGACCCACTCTGCAAAGACAGAGGTGGTCATCAAGGGTATTTTTCTGAGTTCCCAACTTTGAACATCTTTAAAGAAAGGGCGTGGGAAACCTGTAATAGAACGTTGCGGAGTTCAACCATTCAGAAGGATGGGGAACTCAATCTGGGCCTTGCAGTCCGAGGTCAGTCAGCATCAGGGGGTTCAGCCATCAGCTAACTGAGATCAGGGGTCTTGCATCATCGCTCTTTCTGAGCCATTAAATGGTAAATACACTATATTGAAATTTTGTTCACTGCAGGCATGCTCTGAACTGCTTCTTGATTTCAATTTAATTCAAATGATTTAAGGGTGATAGACTAGTGACTACCACAGATGGTCAGCATCCAAGTTGTGCTTGATCTTAATGTGTTGCTGATTGTATCAGTTGGGGTAAAGCATTGCTGTTGATTTGATGAACTGTTTTCTCTGATGTTATGAAGATGAGAATGTCTGTGGGTCGTTAGAGACACAGAAG